TTTTGCAGAATAATATTCATATATAAATGCAATTTTAATTATAGCCTCAAATGCCAAAAACGTTCTATTTTGCTACTATCACAAAAAGACTCCCAATTCTAATGCCTCATTCATTTGGATGCAGGGTAGAGTATTCACAAACCTAATATCACTCTTTTTAAAAGCAAAGTTTGTTCAAAATTGTCCCTCAATTCACTCACATTTAGTGAGTGAATGAATACCTTTTACCTTTCATTTTTGGGGGACTTATTGTGACCTCTAGAAAAATGGACTGCCACAGGACTTCTCATTGCCTAAGGTAATGTCTATTATATGAAGGAGGCCTGGAGGACAAAATTACCTGATGTTGGCTCTCAAATTGTTTTAATCATCACTTTTTTTTATAATTTCCACATCTAAGACATTGGATCTTATAGCCAGTTGTATGTAAGGAAAATATAATTTAAATAATTACTCGTGCTTTTAAAGTAGCAGTTCTCACTCATTCTCCCTCCATTTCATTAGAACATAGTTACATTGTTGTTGAGGTTGAATAAAGACACAGGTCCATCAAGTTTAGCCTGTTTGTGGATGTGTGTGTGTGTGTGTGTGTGTGTGTGAGTTACTAAGAGTACCTGCACCCTTGTTAATTGTGATTTCTGGGGTAAGCATCAAAAGGTTCTTGGATGAGTCAGTGTTCTGTGCTGAAACCACTGCCTGTTTTTTTTTTACACAATTTTACTTCTCTTATAGTATAAAAATCCCCTTCACAGTTTGATTAAACCTTTTTTCTTCCAGTTTCAGGTAAACCAGTAAACAGTTTATTGCCAACTCTGCCATCACCATTAAACAATTTGAACATTACAATTGTCCCCTCTTATTCTTCTCTTTTTCAGATTGTACAAGTTTTTTTTATTTATAAACTTTCCACATAGCTTTGCCTTTCTAACTCCTTTATTAGTTCTGTTGCCCTTCTCTGAGCTATCTCCAGCTCAAAGACATCCTTTCCGTGAATTGATGACCAAAATACCCAAACAGAGCTGTGAACAGTGAACAGAGCTTGCTAGTTTATTGGCTTATTGACCATTAGGTCTGTTCGGCAGTGAATTTTCTGACATGCTCAGTTGATCGAGGGATGCCTGTCAGTAGGATGCCAACAGTGGTACTTGCGCAGTGAATCTCAGTTGGTTCATTAAAAACTGATAAAAAATTTAATGGGGTCTATTCACGAAGCAGCCGAAGGATCTAGCCATAGCTTCGACTGATCCTTTGGATAGCTTTGGCCCCAAGACCCCTTTGGGTCAGTAGAACCGAAGTGGGCCGGTCAGTAGTCCCAAAGTGGGCCGGGCGGCTCATTCGAGCCGAAGGCATATCCCTCGGCTCGACTCGACTGAGCCGAGCTGCAAGGCGAAGCTGGCCGAGCAGCCGGCCATTGGCCGGCCGACAGCCTCCTTCTGACAGCTGGGCGAAGCAAGCTGTGATCTTACGGCTGGCTCCAGCCACTTGCAGAGAGATCAGCGTCCCTGGTTACTAGTTAACCAGGGACATTGATCTCCAGACAGCCCAACTCTCCCGGGCACTCCGGGAGTCTCCCGATATTAGATAGCGGCTCACGGCCCCCCATGAGAGAAACACTTTGTCCCAGAAAGGTTTACTCTGCTTTCTTTCTTTTTTTTATTCTGACATAGAGCCGTTGGCTGCCGTCAGAATAAAAAATAATAATTCACCATAGGAATGCATAGCTAGATTCCTATTGGCTATTTCAATTTTCAATAGCCAGAAACAAGCTAGCCATTGTACCCACCCACTGCTGGTGTCAATCAGCAGACGGGACCTGCAGTTCTCCATCAGGTCCCCTCTAGTGATTGACAGCAGCAGAGGGCGGATGCAATAGCTAGTTTGTGATTGGCTATTGCAAATTGAAATAGCCAATAGGAATCTAGCTATGCATTCCTATGGTGATTTTTTATTTTTTATTTTTTTGACGCAGCAGAACCGCCTGGCCCATAGAAAACAGTTGTGCGGAGCACAGAGGGACCGAGCAGAACAGCCGAGCCGAATGCTGCTCAGTGGCATTCGACTATTCACTCACTGCTGTTCGGCATCTATGAGAATAAACCGAACAGCAGCGAGTAGCCTGCTGGAGGTTCGGCTTAGCCGATCCTTATATTGGATCAGCTGGATCAGCATTCGGCTCACTTCACTTTGGGTCGGTTGTTCACTCGGCTGCCTACGGCAGCTTAGTGAATAGACCCTGATGTGTCTATAGCCTACTTAAGGCAAAAGCAACCATTTCCCAACCCACTCACCAGCCATCCAAAAAACACAAATCACATTTACCTGTCTAACTGTTAGAGTTAAAAACAGAATTGGAAGAATAGGTCACCAGCACTCCAAATATTTAAAATGAATAAGTCCTTTTTATTGGACGATAGTGTCACAAAAGATCAAACAAGAGCCGACGTTTCGGGGCCGCGCAGGGTCCCTTCCTCAAGGCAAGAGATGTGACAATGTGATAACATCCACATACACTTATTCATTTTAAATATTTGGAGCGCTGGTGACCTATTCTTCCAATTGTGTATTTTGCACGGTGCCATCCGTGGAGTTACTGCAAGCACCATCTTTGTTTATTGGCCGGGACTGCTGAAAGGTGTGCGGAGAGTATCCTCACCAATTGCAACCAGAGTTAAAAACAGCATTTTAGTTGCACAACGTTTGCAAAGTATGTGGAATACACACTGCCTTGTCAAGGCTCATGTATGTAGTATGGTCCTAACTCTAATCTATGAGAGCCTCAATCTTGGAGTGCATATAGAAAAAGATGAATTGGGTGCAGCTTCCCCACAAGGCAGCCCAACCTCCTTAAAGGCACTCATGAAATGGGGGACTCAGATTCAAGTAAGCTCCATGTTGTGCTGTGGAATTTTTTGCTGTTGTACTGTTTAAAGCCCTTCCATGTGCACCTTACTTTAATGCTGGTTAGGAATTTATAACTGCATTTGCCATTTGTTTTGCTTGTTGTATTTAGTAGTTGGGACACACTGGGGCCCTCAGCTGCCATTGTGATGTGCAAAGGATGAATTGGGTGCAGGTTTTCCAGGAGGTCTCTTCAAAACCTTTGTCATCATGCAAAATTAAACATCTCCTCTTCTCCTATTATTAAAAATCACAACCTCCAATAACGTGCATGGAAAAAAGAACAGGATTTTTACTTGCAAGTTATTGGATGATTGAAGCCATCAGCACATGGCCTCAAGCATGATGCTAAGTATATTTTCCATTTGCAAAGTGAATTTTATCTGTGTAAAGTAAATTTTCACTTAACCGAGGGAATGATCAGTGCTCATTTCAAACATTCAATCAAGGGTCAGCAAAATCCTTCTTGTTTGTATTTTTTTTTTTATGTGAATGGGTATCCTTTCCCAAATTAGTTTTCACCACATTTGGTTATTAAAAATTCCCTTGCAAAGTCACAAATTTCTTTTTAAAGTGAACACCCTATTACTCCATAAGTAAACAAGGGCCTATGCATTCCATTATTTTTTCACAAAAAAATTAAGAAAGGAAATAAGCCAGCTTAGAATTAGAGCTAAGGCTGCAATTCTACCCAAACACACATGCAAGAATATTACACAACATGGCTAAAAAAAACATAAGGTAAGATAAATATTTTTTTTTCTTTGCAACCATTTTTAATATGTTGTGAGTATAATTAACAGTTTATTTTTATTATTTCTTTACTTGATTTTATTTTTTTGTCTAAAGATGTCATTTAAAAATTATGCAGGTCATGCATATTTTATGTCGGGTAAATGGGACAGGAAGTTTAACGATTGGCACGTGGATAAGCCTATCCGCCTCCATCACGTGCTTAGGGGCACAGTGTTGGTACCTTTGGAGACCCTTTTAGATCCTAATGGTTTGACATTTATGGATTATTGGCGATATTCACAGTTACAGCATTTTCTTACATCGCTCCCTGGACCATTACAATCTTTAAGGGATCTGAGTCCTATTGAAACTATGGGGTCTATTCACGAAGCTGCCGAGGGCAGCCGAGTGAATGACCAACCGAATGCCGCCGAGCGACATTCAGCTCGGTTGTTCTGCTCGGTCTCTTAGAGGGACCGAGCAGAACAGAAAAATAGTGAAAAAAGTTAAAAAGTAAATAGCAAACGATTGTGCTGAGCTAGCAGTGAAAGCTAGCTCCGCCCAATAGTTTCCTATTGTCCGGCGGCTCTGCTGCTGTCAAAAAAAAAAAGAAGAAAAAAAAACTCTCCCGGGCGCTCTGGGAGCCTCCCGCTCCATTCGGCTCGGCTGAGCCGCTCGGCCGTGATCGGGAGCTGTACGGGCTATTGTGAATAGCCCGTACAGCAGGCCCTTGGTTCGAATTAACCGATGGACATCCCGTAACCGAAGCTAGCCGAAGGATCGGCCGAAGCTACGGCTAGATCCTTCGGCAGCTTCGTGAATAGACCCCTATGTTTTTTTGAAGTAGTAGGCTTGCCAGGTGCATCCCCCGCTTTTATAAAATTTTGTTGGAATTTGGGAGACCGGAGTTTCCCAATTTCTTGACTAGATGGGAGATGGACTTGGGCAGCCAGCTGAACAAAAAATGAAGGTATTGGCTTTAACACATACATCCTCGTTGGCCTGTAACATGGAAGAGATGAATTATAAATGACTTACCCGTTGGTACCTCTCTCCGTCTAGAATGCACGAGATGTATGGTGATTTTTCCCCCTTGTGCTGGAGAGGATGTGAACAAAGGGGAACTATGGCACATATATGGTGGACTTGCCCCATTATCCAGGGATATTGGGGTCAGGTGAGGACTTATGTTGAAAAAAGTATGGGTTCTCATAGTGTTGGATATGCTGTCCAGATGGAAAATAATGCAGTATTTACCTATGTTGAAAAACATTATTTCCTTCACATGTTGTCTCTTTTAATTTGAAGTTTTTTTTTATATTTTACTAAACGGTATTTATAATGATTTATATTCTTTTTTATCTTAGGCCCCAAGAGGTCGATGTTCTGCAGAATGTCTTCCAGGGTTTAGAAAAACTCTAAGGGAAGGATATCATGTATGTTGTTATGACTGTGTTCCGTGTTCAGAGGGAGAAATATCAATCTATTCTGGTAATCTTTATGTTCCTTTTAAAATTTAAAATACATAAGAAATTTGTTTTTTTTTCCAGTGTGACCAGTGATAACTTTAAAACAAAGGGTTTTTATAGATATGAAGTGCTAATTTTATTCTGCAGGTTCCCATTATATTGATACCAACATAATGTTTATGGTAGAATGCATGGATAAGTTATTAACATATTGAATTAATGCATTTAAAATGGTTTATTTTTTATGCTCACATCACAATAATGGACATATTTATAAGGCAGTCAATGTGACATTTACCAATCACTCACAGGTGGTTATTCAGTCTCCTTATTTTAAAACACATTTATTAGGAAAATTACCTGCAGTGAATGTTTTTTGAATGTCAAAAATTATAAATAATTATAAATTATATATAAGTCCCAATAGTTGCACATAAATGGACTGAAGATATTTCAGGTACATTGTAAATCTCTGATCACATGACATGGTTTAAACAAATACATTTTTGTTTGCTGTTCAACCTCTTGTACAAACCCATGGTGCTCCTAGAAATCTTTTGTAATGTATTTTAATGTTTATTTCAAAACATAACTTCTATCTAAAAAGAAACCCTGAATTTAAATCCCCTTTAAACAATAAAAAGACAATCACAATACAACTGACCCAAAACTAGTACAGCTTCCCTTTCAATCTCAGTAATTCATGAAAGGAAAAGCATTTTCATTAGACCTAAAAATATATATTTTTACATTATTGTAAAAGTTAATAGAAATATTAATATCTTTTTAAATTATCAATATATAATATTTATTTCAGAAATTATTTAATTTAGATTATGCCTAAGATACTTCAGCTGAAAGCCAGATGGTCCCATATCTGATGGATAAGGTGTGTCCCTGATCTACTTCACAATGTCATATATTATATGAGAGTGCAGAATGGATAGTCCAAGCTTTTAGTTCTCCACTTTCTGGCTGTATATGGCATATTTATACATTTGTAACATTTTATATTTTACTGGTTAAGAATAAAACATGGTGCACAATATATGATTTGTTTTATTTTAGTGTAACTAGGTCCTAATCACACACACACACACACACACACACACACACACAAACACACAAACACACACACACACAATCACGTTAGTAAGTTATACCTGTGATTTTTTTTAACTGAATTTTATAACTATGTACATCTGCAATATTTTTGACTTGATGATTATCGGTGCACTGCATTTTCCATTGATGACATACATTTGGTAGCAGCTGGCAGCTGCAGTCAATTTCCAAGTAGGATAGTTGACACAAAGCGTGATGAGGTCATGTGGACCTGACCAGCCTCTTTCTCCTCACTGAAAAACACTACTATGCAGAAATCAGTGTCATCATACAGATTTGTAGTTCAATGCCATCGAGAGACAAATCTTTATGAATTTCAAAAGGCCCTTTGGAGGTTTGTGACTATACAACAGGTAGATACCCTTGGACAGTGAAGCTGGTAAAAGGAAAGCACACAGGAAAGAAAAAGTCAAAATAACAAAGTGTTTCTAAACCCAAAACAAAAATGCAATCTGTGGCAGCTTACTAATCCTTAGATGTGGTGGCTGCATTTGTTTTCTTTTCAACCTTTTTTTCCTTTATTTTTACTTGGTGAAACCATCCAGTAAGTCTGTTATTTTTCAATATTCTTTAACATACCAAGCTGCACAGCAATAGCAGCAGCTAGATGGAGGAAAAAACAATTTAACACTACCAATGGGGCTTGCAAAGGTCGTTTTTAATTCATTTATGTAAAACTTTGATCTCAAGATGAAAATAAAACTGTTGCTGTAACTGCTTTATAATTATTAGTAGGAGTTCAGATTACATTTACATGGTCAAGTCTGTCTAAATCTGTTAGTTTATCTAACACAACCCTTCCCACAGGGTGACAATTCTGGAGTTCATGGGTGGCCATGTTGCTCCTTCATAGATTTGAGCCTTCCAAAGACAGGAAGTGTGTTACTGGCTGGATCATTAGGTGACAATAAAGTAAAATATCTAAAGAAATATAATACTAATGCAGACAACTACAATACATTTCTAGTAAGATGCAATACATTACATGTTGGTTTTGAGGGATGTTTTTGACCTGACACACCCTTTTAGCATTCTTAAAAGATGGCATGTGTTTACTGAGCTCAGAAAGTATACAAGGTAGAGATGGCCAGGCAGCTAGATTTTGTTGCAGAAGATGGACAATGGCTGTTTTAGAGTTTATCTCAGTATTATAAGCCTTTAAACTACTTTGTGAATGCAATATTACTTAATGGGGTTGATTTACTAACTAAAATGGACTGTTCACTTTGCAAGAAAATGTTACCTTTGCTTAGTGAATGTGGTAAATATTCACTTTGGAAAAAATACCCACTCACAAACAAATGTTTTTGCTTTTACATGATTGTATGATGGAAATCAACAAAGCTTCATCTCATTTACTAAGCTTATGTAAAACTCCCCTGCAAACTGTTAATTCACTTGCAAGGTGAACAGCCTGTTTGACTTTAGTGAATGAACTCCAATAATTCAAATTACAAAGTGTGCCTTACTGTGAGAATGTTAATTTAACTTCCTGCAGAGAACTAGGGATGCACATAAGTTTATGTTCTGAGTTTTCATACCCAACATTAATTAGAGAAATGAATCATAGAGGTATTGTCAAGTTATCTGACACATACCAACACTGGTAAACCTGGTCTGGGTGTCTAGACTTCAATAATCTCTGGTCACAAGAAGGTTGGGTGTCAGCATTCATTGTACATTATGAACATTTTTCAGTATATGTTTCTTCTACAGATAGTGAAAACTGCCAGACGTGTCCTGAAGATCAATGGCCTAATGAGGCTAGAAATATTTGTGTTGCCAAATGTTATGAGTATTTGTCATATGAGAAGGACGTAATGGTTGCATTTATTTCTGTATCTTCAGTCATATTTTCTGCTACATCTCTCTGTATACTTGGAATATTTTTTTGGTTTCGGAACACTCCCATAGTCAGAGCCAATAACAGGAACCTCAGCTTCATTCTGCTCTTCTCTCTCATGCTGAGTTTCCTTTCTGTTTTCCTGTTCCTTGGATATCCAATGGACATAACTTGTATGCTGCAACAAGTCTTCTTTGGAATTGTCTTCACAGTCTCACTGTCTTCTATCCTAGCCAAAACCATCATGGTTGTTATTGCTTTTAAAGCCACCAGACCTGGAAGCTCCTGTAGGAAATGGGTGGGAGTCAAACTTCCCAATACAGTCCTGTTGTTCTGCTCATTAATTCAAGTTATGATTGGTGTTTTCTGGTTGTCCATCTCTCCACCATTTCAAGAGTATGACATGCACTCTTCTGCTGAGAAGATCATCATTCAGTGTAATGAAGGGTCCTGTTTTGGGTTTTACTCTGTGTTGGGTTATATGGGGTTTCTGGCAGCTGTGAGCTTTGTTCTGGCTTTCATGGTTAGGACATTACCAGACAGTTTTAATGAGGCCAAGTACATCACCTTCAGCATGCTGGTCTTCTGCAGTGTCTGGATTGCCATGATCCCGGCCTATCTGAGTACCAGAGGAAAGCATACAGTGGCTGTGGAGATATTCGCCATACTGACCTCCAGTGCTGGAATATTAGTCTGCATATTTTCTCCAAAATTGTATATTCTACTTTTTAAACCTGAGCGGAACACAAGAAAATCCATGCTGCCAGGAAGAATGATATAAAATATTGTAATCTTAATACATCAATACTGTATTTTCTTTGCTTGTAATGACTTTAAAGAGACTACTAATATTATTATTATTATTATTATTGTTATTTTTATTGTTATTTAGAATAATAATATTACTCATAAAATAACACACATGATTATAGTCATGGTATTGGTATTCTTGGTAACTGAACCTTTCTGTCTATATATTAGCCTAGAAATTGGTATGCATTATAATGGTTTTTAGGGAGGAAACTTGTAATGTACAAACTGTTTCATGGTGATGGCAGAGTCAGCAATAAACTGTTTTCTGATAGTTTACCTAAGAAGACAAGAGGCCACCATCCTAAACTGGAAAAAAAAAATTAGTCAAACTGTGCAGAGATGTAAAACTGTGGAAGTTTTTTCTCCTGGTAGAGGTTTCAGCAAATAACATTTTTTTAAAATCAGATATTTTTTATTGATATTTTTCTCGTGTATACAGTTGCATAACAATAAAACAGTGTATATGTTACCCTGAATTGTACAGAGTTCCAGCCAGCAAACATATAACAACAAAACAATAACAATAAAAGTCATGCAGTTGGGC